GCGGGCTTTGGCATCAGAATCCCGGGAGCACTCCCCGGGTGGATCCCCAGGGCCACTCAGGAAGACACATCTCACCAAACTCGCAGACAAATTAAATACATTTAGGTAAGCGCATTTTTTGTAATAGTGTTCAAAGTTAAATTATAATTATACTTTTCCCAAAAATCAACAAAAAGCAGTAGTATCTTAAAGACAATACTAGATGATGCACCAAGGGGATAAAGCATGTTTTATGTCACGGGCAGGCAGCAGGTGAGCTTAAATAAGGAAGAAATTATAAATTGAATTATAATTAAGTTGTATCACCAGCCTATAATGTCCCCACTGTTGGGGCACGGGCCTTCCCTATGGATGGAACAGGAAGATTGGGCTATGACATGATGGAAGCCAGAACCACCAAAAACCGATTAAGTGTTCTAACTTTTAAAAAAATGTACTAGTTTTTCTATTTATGTGCTATCTAAAACTAGTGGGCAAATTAAGACACTAACAGCGCCTTAATAAAATAGAGTTACTAGTATTAGGGCGGGAGTATTTGCTGTTAGGCAGCGCCTGCGCATGCACATAATCTGAGATACTTATTATGTATATATTTGTAGTTCATGTATATTACCCCAAGCCATGAAGTTCTAACCAACAGCTTTGTATGCTTATAAATTCCTTGACTTAGCTATAATGCGATTCAAATAAGAATAGGAAAGCCAATGACCATCTGTCAAACGACGCTTGAAAAGTACGGTTTGCAAAAAATCTTGGAACTCTTTTTGAGCACTCAGCTAATTCTAGAATAAAAAAACCAAACATTTGTAAACAAACATGACGACGATGAAAACTTCGGTAGCTATGCAGAGCTGAGCGGAATTAAGAGCTAGATTCCGATTAATATTTTTACTCACACAGTCATAAATGTTATTAAAAATCGGTGTTTTTTTTCTCAATCTTAGTAAATAAATTTTATTAATAAAATTGATGGTCCTTCTCACTTAATCTTAGTAAAAAAGTTTTATCGAAGAAAAACTTTTATTGCTCACTCTACCTATTTTGTTTCAATTGACAGCTTTGACATCACAAAATGGCGCCCAGTCGATCCTATTCTTAGTTGAACCGCATTATAGATGGCGAATGCTGGAAATGCTTGTTGTCTACAGGGTTGCCGACCCTATTATATTAGGGGATCAAATACTATATTTCTAAAAAAATATATTAGGCGAAACTACTATATTTTGCTTAAAGCATATTTTTGGCAGTAAAAGCTTTTTTTAAAAATTATTAGGAATTATTATAATTTTTGCCAGCTACTATATTTTTTGAAAAAATACGAAGCGTTTCGCTTCGAAAATACTATTTTTGATAGAAAATATACATATATGTCTATTTATCTTGATATTGATTATATTACTGGCCAAAATATCCTACTAAATATCGATCTTTTGTAAATTAACGTATTCCATATTTCTCATTTCATCCTATGCTGGTATGTTGTAAGAACGAGACATAGGGTCTCTGTTCTGACTATCTCACTATGCCCGGGTTGTCTATCTTTGCTTCTGACAGGTTAAAATAAACTTTATTTGTTTACATCAAAGTCAATTTTCGAAAATGAGAATAGAACTTAAATGGCTATTTCACTGTCCAATTGGGCCTTATCGAAAGGGTGGGCGTATCTTCAAGCTAGGGTAGCAAATATTACAACAACCTATCAATCGGACCCGAACTCAGTCTGAAAGTAAAATTCGTCTCGGTTGAACGTTTTCGTTATGGCACCCGATTAATTCTGTTCCTTTGGTATACTTACTTTACTCTTTGATTCTGATCAAATATTATATAAACTTTTCTAAAACCTTTGGCATTCTTCTCTTTATTCAAAGGGAAATATGTAAATGTCCATTAGAAAATTTTCATCAATATGTGCCTTATCAAAATAGCTTTTAATTTCTTTTTGCCATAAAAAAATGACTTACCCTGCGGTGACGAACAAAGAATAGTACTCACCACCCCTTTTCTTCCCGTTGGGCGTTGTAAGAAGCAACTCAGGGATATCGGAGCTTCCATCCGCTCTTCTGGTGGTAGGGTAGGCACCCTACCACCTGTCTGGTTTGTTACGACTTACGAGAACACTTTCAGACTGAGTTTGGGTCCGATTGATACGGCGGGCGTTGTAATCATTGCTACCCTAGCTAGGATACTCGAAACTACCTTTTAGATACGGCCCTTTAAATTGGGTAGTGTAATATCCGTTTTATACTACCTTAATGTCAAAATGACATCTTTTATTTTATTTTCATGAACATAACCTAAAATGTTAAGGAAATTATAAGATATTTTCAACTTTCATAAATAAATTTTAAAATAACTGAGGTTTTTAACAATACAATAAGTGAGACTTTAATTTTATTACTGTTTGGTAATATAAAGAGTAGATTGTGATTACTGTGTATACTGACAAACATGAAAATGGCATGTAAAACTCGGGGAAAAGCGCCTAGCACGAGTAAAGAGAATGATGATGAGGAAGAGCGGTAAGTTCATATTATTCATTCTACAATTCCATCAAGAATATTAACTTTATTACTGAACACAGCACTAGGATCTCATATTTCGAACTACTTAAGTACATAAATGAAATGACACAAAAAGATGAATGAAAAGTGTGCTCTCAGTATTCAAGAAATTTTAAATTTTCAAACATTTTGAATTGCTTATATATGAAGCAGGTACCTTCCCAATTGAAATTCATAAACACTCTCTCTGCACTTGATCTTTTAAGCCTTGTAAGTATAAATTAGGATCAGACAATATCAAAAAAAGCAAGAAAGCAGAGCCTGTTCAATAAACCATTCTATTGCTGACGTATCTGAATATTTAAACAAAGTTAATAATTAAATAAAGCTTCTTTTTAAGGGGTTTAAAATTACACATTGAATTATGTAAAAAACTCTAAAAAAAGCATTTTAAAAGTATTTTTATTTAATGATTGCATGAAAACTTAGGAATTAAATGAAGTAAATAATTATTCTATTTGTTTCTTAGGTTTTCACACACATCACTCATTAAATAAAACTAGTTTTTAAAGTTAAAGTAAAAGTTGGTGCATTATCCCGTTAAAAACTAGTTTTATTTAAATAATTAATCATTCATCATGATAAAAATAATAATAGTAAATGACTGGTCAAAATAAAAAATCCTATCAATACAACTCCCACTCACTCATACAAACAGTGTTCTATTAGGTATGAATCATTAAATATTAGGTATATCTATTAGACAAGTCCGTCCGTCCGTCCGTGGTGCTGTTTCAGCGGCCAAACCGTAAGAGATAGATAAAGAGAATGTTTAAGTTATAAGTTGAGAATTGTCTGATAAGACTACAAACCGGATGTGAGTAACGTAGCACTTCCGGTTTTCGAGAAATCACGTGATTTCTATTTCAAACGAAACCACACAAAATCTCCGAAGTTCTCAATTAATTAAATACATTTTTTTTTTGGTGAACATTTGGTTCACTGGTTTGCTAGTTAGGTATAATAGATAACAATCTCAATAGTAATGCAGTATAGAGCAGACTTATTCCTGCTGGCAGCACCAGTTTAGGAGCATGATGTATGCTACCATGGCCTCACTCAACCATATTTGAAGAAACCTTACACAACATTGCCACATGCTATCTTACTACATTGTGGAACCAACACTTGAACAGGGAATTCATGAATAACTATTTGCAATGCTAAGCAATTTTTTCTCTACAGACGGTCTGAACGTACACATATGCTTCTAGGAGTGTAGTAGTGTTGTAAGGTAAAATCATACTTTTATTGCAAAAAATGTCTTTTCACGAGTAGTGAGATTTTGGTATCAAAATAGGTATATGAATTTTATTCCCCAATTCAGTGCTCTTTCCTAATTTTTTAAAATTCCATACCTCAATCGGCAAAAACAGAACTCTTATAGGATAACTTAGTTGTCTGTTTGTTGCAGTAGATTTACTCAAATTCTACTGGACTGATCAAATTGAAATTTGAAACATACATGTGTATCCATGATGCAAACATAATCAAGTAAATAAATAAGTTTCTGTTAGGAGATGAATCATAATATTAAAACGTTGCTAAACTTAGTGTTGTATCAAATAAAAGGGCTTTATGTGAATGCTGCTATAATGTATGAAAAATGACCTTTCGTTCTAGAGATGAGGGGGGGAGGAAACCACTTTGCCTTTGAAAAAATTGAATGTGTCTCTTAGCTTGTAGATTACAGGAAAACTTATATGACCTATAAGAAGTTTATTGTATTGGTATAGAACCCATTGTGAGCGAGTCTGACTCGCACTTTGCTAGTTTTTTTCTCAAAAGACATTGTTGACACCATGTGATTCACAATAAGTACTGAAAATTGGAATATAAAGTAAAATTCTATACCCCCTTTTAAGCACAAATGTTTAAATTTATAAAGAGAGAAGAGATCTAGCAATTTTATATAATAACACCATAAATTAATAATAACAACAATATGAATGACCATGTTAAAAATATAGTAAAATGTAAACATTATAGGTAGGTAGGTAAGTAGGTTGAAACGGGATTATACGGATTTTTCGAAGTCCCATAACTTTTTTTTGAAGCAACTACAAACGATATAATTTTTACTACAATCAACTACATACGAAAGTCTTTAAGAATCGTTAAGAAAGAAATTGATTTTCCAAAGTCGGGAGATAGGTTCACACAGCTTGACCGGAGGGCAAAATACATCTGCCGAACTAGGGCGGAACGAAAGAAATCGAATAAGTTTGATGTATTTGCTGCTCCAAAATATTACAATTAACTGCTGCCGACAACTTTTTGTTTGAAACCGATTGTTTTATTTGTAAACAAAAACCAATAATTACTTTGTTTTAATTCCAAATAAGGCTGGAATGCAGGATGTAGCAAAAACGCTTGATTGTAATCGGTGCGGATCACGTTAGAGTCAAAGAAACTATAATTAATTATTTAGTGAGGGAATACAAATACGCGCGACCACTGTGATTTCAAACTACTGCCCATATCTGGTTCCTCAAATAATATGTCTCGTCTAGTTGGTAACGAGCGTTTATATCATTGATAGCATTAATTTAGTCAATAGTTAAAATATGAAAGCAGCGTATGTAGTAAAACCAGATGGTACCTATAACTTTAGACCATCGTGACATTATCACTATAAAACCCACGCATTTGCTCCTGTGACATGGTTTCGTTCACAACGATAAAAGACAGATGGTGCGTTTCCATTGTAATTAAACTTGTGGTCACTTATAATAATGTGTCTGTTTAGAAGGCAAATTTAGTAAATCCTAAGGGATCAATCTCGATAACTCAGCTTAATTTCGGTGTATTCCGTGTATATCGTGATAATGAGAACGCACAGCTTGTGAGAGTCATGTAATAAATATTTTTTAAGAAAGATCAAGCAAACCATATTAACTTGACACAAGATATAATATCACGAATAGCAACCAAATTTAAAAACTAATTATATAAGTTAACTAACAGGATTATGTTCAAGGTTTCGGTTGATAATGCGAACGCGGACGACATACAGTGCTGCGCCGCGCCCGCCAAGCCGTTGACTCACGGTCTGCCACGCCAGGAATGTAACACTTTTAGGACGATGCCTTTTGACATTACTGATACTGACTGACCGTACCAAACACAGACCACACCCACTTTCAAAATTTTTTTCTTATATATTCTGACTTTTTTAGGACACTATATTTTACCTTAATTTAATCTCTTATAAGACTTGTCCATACATTTGAACAGTCATTTACAATGTAACATGTTTAATAAGCTTCCTGAAAACTATTTGAGACCTTAATATTTCTAATATTAATATGAAAAATAACCACCGGCCCAAGGTATGTAACCCTGAGGTATCCCTTATTTCGATCCTGAAAATGAACACAAAAGTCGAGACTTCGTATATGTACATAAACGGATTTTTGAAACAGAATCTGTCACTTGCTCTGTATACTTCAAATGCCTCCGTTAAAGAATTTAAAAGAATCAAATTTGTCGAAAGTCATATTAAAAACCTTTCTTAGAAAATCAACTGTCCTTGTCAGACAACAAGTTTTAGAAAGAAAACTTAGAGATTTTTTTACTAAGTAACGAAGGTTGTAGGTAAATTGTTTAACTACAACCTTCGTAACTTACGTAAAAAAATCCAATAGAGGAGTACAAACCCTAAAGTTGGACAATTTGAATCAATCAGGTGGTTAAAATTCGTTCCGTAATTTACAGTGTTCATTGGAGCCGTAACAAATTAACTTGCTATTCTAATTAAAACTATTGCTCAGTGCACACCAATCGAAAGTGAATATTATTTTTATCTCGGGAGCAAATTGTCATTACAAACAGCAAGAACTGTAAAATACATAAAGAATTTAAGGTGTTCATGATGTGTCTGTTTGTTAAAATTCGATCAATAATTTTCAAGTACAAAATTATTATAAATATGTAATTATTCAATAAAATTTGTGTACAGTAAAATCACAACCTAAATATTATTACAAAGAAGAAGTTAATTGGTAACACTTATCACTTTATTAACTTATTAACGATGGGTGATGTCCTTTATGTATGCCTCATGCTAGCTGGCCGAATAACTTGTGATCTGTGATAAAGGCACATCGGGCATCCAGACGACTTTTGTTTGCGATTTTCAAACACCCGGTGGCATCGTGTTGCGGATTAGCGCGCAGGTCGTCTGATAATTTAGTGGGCAAAGCGCTGCAGTCGGCCGAACGCTCCACGCGCGTTCTGACGTACGCTTGTTCAGCGGGTCTGTTACAAAATAAGTTAACATTTCCGTAAAACTCAATAATTCACAAATTGCAAATCCCGCGTAGCCTTGTGATTCTCGTGCATCCAGTCGAGCAGGCTTCATGCGTCAATTTTGCAACACGGTTTCGCGCGCTGCTGGCCGCTCCGCTTGTTTTTAACGAATAATTTGCAGTGTCCAAAACTTAAATACTAAGTTAATCACGTCTTCATTGTTTATCGGCTTTTCTTTAGTAATATTTATGGTTTTCTCTTACGTGATGGTTTAATCTATGTACTGCAAAATGTTGTCCATGGAATCATTGTGGTCTGGATCTGAAGTAGAGCTGTCTACTTTGAGGCTGTGTAAAACCGCTTCGGAAAGGTCCGAATACCGCCAGTGTAGAAGGAAACCCTCGAAGAGCCTAATACCACAAGGCTTACTTCACGCCCTGCCGGAGCCGCAACCCAAATCTCATAGGCGTCGCAGATCTGGCACATGGCCGTAAGTGGACATTGACTTCGCAATAACTCATAAACATATTTTTTCAATACACATTTAATGTATTTGCGGCCTTACTGGTGAGGTGACATGTGATTATTTTATTATTATTTTATTCATGAGAAAACTTTCCAAAACGAACTTCGTGAAATACCTTTTAATATTCTGTGTGCATGATTTGCATAGATATACTAAATTGTATACAGTACAATTTGCCTATATACTGATAAGAATCTGTGTTCCATCTGTTATTTTTTGTTGCCCATCTGCAGTTACAAAATTTACCAAACGAACGCAATTTTTTTACCCGGCTGCGCAATGCAAGAGCGCGAAGCGCGACGCGCAGACAGGGTTATGTGTTTAACAGTCTATATATGTATGTTTGTTCCTTTGTGGCACACTAGAGACCAAACGCCTGGACCGATTTTGATGATTCATACATCAATCGATTCGTCTCAATCATGGGAGTGCTACTAAAGATATGATAGTAATCAAAATTCAATATGGGCAAAATTAGGCGCCATATTGTGACGAAGTAAAAAAAAAAAAGTTGACAAAATATGTCAAGTGGGGTATCACTGTCTAGATAATCAAAAATCATATTTAGGTTCCTAACACCATTTTTCATTTTATATGATTGTTTAGGATCTACAACGCTTTAAAGTTGTATATTAACCACACGTTTTTAATTTCAATCTTACGTTTCTATGGATCTTTGTTACTCTTTCACCTTAAAAAATACTGAATGGATTTTCATGAAACTTAACAGTAATATAGCTCATATATGATAATTACATATATATAATAATTTATGTAGTTATTGAGTGAATTGGGCAATATATAACAATAAGTGTCACATAAGACGGAAAAAAATCTCCCACCTGCGAGCCATTTTGGCCTGCACTGCAAAAACAATAAAAGTTACATGAATGTAATATAGAGTGAAAATGTATCTCTTGAATAGTTCTAAAAAAAAGTCCGTGACACTATATATCTATTTTTAATGTGTAAGTCATTACCGCTAAAATAGTGAATCAAAACTAAAATATTATTAGATATCTATTTCCAAAATGCACATTTTGTATTAACAAATCATTTTTTATCAAAACAAATACTTTTATCGCTTTTGATATTTAAAGACGATAAACTTTGCTTTTTACACTATGTCATTTCGACAAATATTTAAAAAGTTACAACGATGACAAAGTGATAGCGCGGTGTACTATGTAAAAGAAAAAAAAAAATGGGGTATTCGCAGTAGCTGATCCTATACGAAGTACTAACAATAAAACTGTGAACTGTGATACCTTCTTATTAAATGATGAAAAAAAATATTTTAATAATAGGTATTTATGATTATTGAATTTTAATGAAAAACTCAGAATTTTACTGTTTTTCATTTTTTTAAACGATATTACTCAATGTTACAAAAAAGGTTTACTTAATATAATGACAAATAACCCATTTTTCGCTAGTAAGTACATACTTATTGGAATCCCTGTATTTATTAATTAGCTCGCGATAATATTGGTTTTGTAATAATTCTGCAAAATGCAAAGTAAATAATGTAGATTTTTATAGGTAAATCACCCCTTTCATCACCCTACGCCTATAAGTATTGCGATATTGTAGCTAAGAACCAAGTTCCCATCTACTTCTATATGGGAATTCATTGTATTCGGTTTAGCTATTAGGGCACGGAAGCGCAACAAACAAACTCACTTTCGCATCTATAATATTATATTATACTTACTAGTGATCCACCCGGGCATTGTACGGGCGAAATTTATTTATCGGGATAAAATATAGCCTATGTCACTCGGACAAAATGTATTTAAATAAAGAAAAATGTTATAATAAATAATGTAGCTACCTTATGTTGAATTAATATTTGAAACCGGTTCAGTAGTTTGACAGATTATTTGTTACAAACATACAAATCTTGCTTCTTTATAATATTAGTATAGATAGTCAGGATAAGTATTTAATTGATGAAAAAGATTTAAAAATAAAGTAAGTAATAGGTTTATTTGATTATATTTGTAAAAGTTACTTAGCATTTGTGCTTAACAGTGATACGTTATTCGGTATTTTTATTAACAAAAAAAAATTTGGAAAATAATTGCCATGATTGCACTACTGGGAGTACACTTCATTCGAGCTTTACACTACCAATAAAAAAGGGTCGAACACAAAGTCTTTGACCTGTTAAATGTGAACGCTTTAAAAGAAAACTACAAAGAGAACTATAAATTGATAATAAATGAGATTGCTATGGTGCTCTACCTAACTTTATGAAAATTTTATTATGCGCCTTTAGTTTAATCAAATATTATAAACTTTGCTTTGGTGATTGCATAATTATTTAATTTAGTGATCTAAGGCAATTGCCACCATTGTCCAAAACAACAGACGGGAATTACTGCTTTCTTCAACCTGCGACATAAACTTCATTGATTGGTATTGTATATAGGGTGATTAAAAACATTTGAAGTTAACTTCTGGCATCTACATATTGGGTTTCTGTGAATTATGTAGGTTCATCAAATTATGAGACTAGGGACTGACACTGAATTTGTGTATATCACAATCTTAGACGTCCGGCATTGACATGACAATGCAGCCACTGCCAATTTTAAATAGTCGACGAATAAAAGTAAATGAATTTTATATTTACTGCTAAACTATTAAAAAAAAACATAAACAAAAAATGACTTTTTGAGTAAGTGCTAGTTAGTTTACTATAAAATTTACATACATAAGAGATATTTATGTAACGACTTGATTTAACTTCACCCATTTTTGTGAAAAATGAGGCCCATCTGTAGCCTTGACCCCGCTGGTAAAGTCTTTATATGTCTTAATAAATCAATCTTTTAGACCGACGCTGACGCCAGGTACTTAATAATTCCCGCGATATTAATTCTCATACTGAAGTAACAAGACTACGGTATATACCGTCTTAAAATACTAACTAACTAAAAAGTGTGAAATAAAAAAGGTAAATTTAAAAAATCAAAAAACCCGACTGCTTAATTATACTTCAAATAAAAATTTAAAAAATCAAAAAACCCGACTGCTTAATTATTCTTCAAATAAAAACTGAAAAGAAAAAAACAAGTCCAGTAGTCTATAATTCTGTTAATAAGGAACAAAGCTACTTTAACAGTCGGGACCCATTAGATATTCAAGAATACATAATATTTTTCAACAGTGGGTCCCGACTGTTAAAGTAGCTTTGTTCCTTATTAACAGAATTATAGACTACTGGACTTGTTTTTTTCTTTTCAGTTTTTATTTGAAGAATAATTAAGCAGTCGGGTTTTTTGATTTTTTAAATTTACCTTTTTTCATTATCAACCACAAAATAAAATATCAATCGTATAGTATTGGGCTTTAATTAATTTAGTTTCTTAAATTATGAAATAACGAAAGTACCAAGCGTAAGTTAATTTTTACTTTTTTTTATGTTGCTTATGATTATGAGTTAATGTTATCAAAGTACGTGTACCTTTAAAATGAAAGAAAGCATCTGTTATTTTCAGAAATAATATCTTTTTGATAGATTTGATATTATTCTGAACCAAGCGCACTCTGCTGGTGCATTTGAAAACTAATTCACGTTCCAATTAAGCATCAGCATAATTCGGCATTATGCGGCTGAGTAGCATTATGCTCTGTAATTGGAAAACTACCACTACTAGTAGTAGTAAAGTTGATTTATTAATTTAATGTATTTATCTGAAAATACACTCTTTTGTGCGCAAATGTATAAAGATTTTACTACGCTTGTTAATATTATTTTAACGTTAGATAATTTATTTGAATCCAAAATGATATACGTATTATTAAATAACAATCACATTTTCTAGTTAGATACAATGTTATACTTTTGATGTCCAAAATATTTTGTAATTTGCTATTTACATAGTTTCGCTACACATATCTCTTGTGGGGTTAGCAGAACATGTGGCACCACTGTACTGGCACCGCAACAGATAATTTGACAATTGTTGGACCTCAGTTGCTAACCGGAAATAATGATTGATCATTTTCCTTTTTTGTTTCCGGACAGTACTTTAGAAAGACCCGTCCAAGCTTCATTTATAGTGCTCTACTAGATATGGAGGGGTATGTGGCATAAAAGGTTTTTTTTACTAAAAATATTTTAATTTACGTTTTATCATTTTAACGTCCGTTTCCGGTCGGTCGCGTATATGGGACAGGATGAGGAATTGAAGTTCTAACTTGGCTCCCTTCCTTCCCAAGAGTCGTCTTGTTACTAGTAAAGTTTCACTAAAGATTCTATAGACCTTTGTACATGTTATTATTTGTGACGACCCAGATAACATGCGAAGCACGACCGCAACCTTCGACCAAATGTATGATGTTTTAACTATCGTCATTTTAAAGACAAGCAATATAATATTATTTACTGCTGTAAATCGTTTGAAAAATTATATTACTGCACTTCATTAAACATTAGTTGCAATTCTGATTGGATCTTAAAGTAGTTTTTCAAGTGAAACCTTATCGAGCTCGCACCAACCACTGTCTGCACATACATTTAAGGCGGCAATTTCCAATCACCTAGAAAACTAGAAGGTAATGGATTCCGTCAATTGTCAAAGGGTTCTTAGAAAATCGTCATTGCTTTGCTATCAAACTACTTTCTCACTCAGAAATGCATAGGAAAATGCCAATTAAAACCTGTTTTGTTCTGACCAGTTCCATCTGCAATGCTAACTGTTGATGCCTGTCTGCAAATAATACTCATTGCAAATGATTTTTAAATATACTGGAAACCATATATTCTTATATTAAATTGAGATTACAAATACTCTACTATATTCAATATTTGATTTAGTATTATGTAAAAAGTTTATGACATAGATCGAATGACTCTATAATTGCATGCAGATTACTGACATCCGAAATAATGATCTTTAGCATTCAATTACAAGAAGTTTTCTTTTCCTTCAATTTCAAACGTAATCGAAGGT